GAGAGGCAGGAGGAGCAGGGCGCCACCAAGGGGCCATAGGAGTCCAGGCCAGAGCCGCTCCCACTTGTCTGGGAAGGATATGTCTCCCTCCTCCTCTCCATCAAGTCATCATGCCAACCAGCAAAGTTGAATTATTAAAACTCCCTTCTGGGGTACCACATGGATTTTTCTCCACTGAGACTCAGAGGAGAGGGGCGGCGGCTCCCGCCACACAATATTAAAATGTCAGGAGTTTAAGGCCTTGTGTTGGTTGAGTCATAAGTTATCAGCACCCAGTGAGGGCCGACAGAATGCCTCCCTTAAATTATTAAGCAGAAAGCGTCAGACTGTAATATTTTGCTAAACCAAAGTACAGACACAGACAAAGATGTCATTTCAATATTTGAAACCAGCAAGTTTAATTTAAAATAAGAGCAAACCAATAAGCTCAGAACATAGCGGCGAATGAGAGGAAAATTATACTGTGAGAAGGAAAAAAAAAGTGGAAGGACTTAAGAAATTTATAAAAGTAATCTCCAAGTGGAAATTAGAAATCAAGGCCTAGAAACAGAATAACACAAAAGAAATATTACTGTCCACTTTCTAAATCAATATAACACTGCTCCACGCCGGAATTACCATGGTAACTCAAGTAAAAAGAATCAAGCAATTCTTATTATTTCAAAATAAAATCACAGCCTGAAGCCTGGGTTTTATTACAACCACTGATAGATCGCTGGCTTGTATTTATCTGAAATATTGCTTTTCAATCAGCTGGTTTATGAATGTACACAGGCCTCTCACCAGCCCACTTACAGCCCCGTTTTGAGGCATGGGGCCAGCCAATGAATTGATTCTTACCTGGCTGTATTTGCATATGTGCCCAGGTTTCAGACTACTCCGGTAACATGGGGCTTTGGACCCTCTCCAACTGTCCAGTGGCTTTGTGGGATAAAGAGGAAAAGCTGGAAGAGGCAGGGAGGCTGTTTTCATTCTGGTCTCCTCCACAATTGCCTTTGGAGGGCTGGGGTTTGATGGCAACGTCGACAAACTGCCCACACAAGCTTCTTCCCACCCCAAATCATCTTCTCGCAGGCTCCCTCTGTCCCTATTTCCTTGAGCTCTCTCTGAGTGTTTTTCTCCCCAACCCAAGTCTGGAAGTTGGAAAAGGAGACAGCAGAGCAGACAGAATGAGCCCAGGATCTGCAGTCAGACCACCTGGATTCACCTCTGGCCCACGTGAGCTAGGGGACCTGGGACCAATTACTTGACCTCTTTTTTTGTTTTTTTGTTCGTGTGTTTGTTTTCTGCTGTAGGGTATAAGCACTCACCAGAGAAAAAGAAAAAAAAGTGAGAAATCACCCTCCAGGGGAAATGGCCATGCTAATCCCTCTCCTCCATTCTCCCCTCAGGACTTTGGGCATGCATATACACACACCCATATTTCAAGCTGCTGAGTCTGGGACTCAAACCACAGCTGGCCATGTGAGAGTCTAGCGCCTTAATCACTATGCCACCTGCTGGCCTCTACTCCACCACTTTGTACAGAAGTGTTCTTGTCTGCACGATGGGGACAGCAGTGGCTTCTTCCTAAGGTTGCCATGGGTATTAAATGAGATCCTGCACAGATGTTGGGTGGATTGATTACAAGAAGGACCTCAATTCTCTACCCCTCCCAGCATCCATGCCCTTTGTGATATGACTTTTCACCTCCTACCTTAACAGTAGAATCTGTTTCCCAAACCCTTAAACTTGGATTGGCCATGTCACTTTTTGTTTGTTTGTTATAGAATGTGGCAGAGGTGACAACACCCCGGGGCCAAACTTTGGCCTCCAGGAGCCTTGTGTGCTTCTACTCTCTCTGGGCTTGTCTCTGCCGTGAGAACAGCCAAAAGAGACTGTTGGATGATGAGGGCCATGCAGCCTCATCACTCCAGTGTCCAGTTGATCAGCTGTCCGCCATCCTCTAGGTGTGAGTGAGCCCAGCTGAGACCAGAACACTGCTTGGCCAAGCCCAGCTAACTTACTGACACACAAATTTGTGAGCTAAGTAAATCTTTGGTGTCTGAGCCTAAGTTTTGGGATGCTGGGTTATTCAGCAATCACTCATACACGTGCATATAGCACAATTCCTCACTCTTTCGTGAGGCTTCAGTAAAACAGCAGTTGTTGTGTTTTTATGATCCCTAATGACTGAGAGGCCAAAGCCACAGCGATCATGCTGTCACTGTGCAGGAGGCTTCCTGGTTTAATACGTGTGCACGTGAATGTTAGGGGTCAGATCAGTGTTGCTTTCATTGTAGAGGTGAGAAACCCAGTAACAGATGAGTGACTCAGTAAAATGTGTGAAGTCACACAGTAGTTAGCTGGCTCTAGAACCCAGCTCTCCTGAACCATGCTAGCAGATTGTATCGGACAATGATAGGGCCACTCAAGAAAGTCCAGTTGACTTCCAGGAGAAGGGGCAGGAGGTAGGAGCTAGTGACCTGACCCAGCAGGTCTTCACACTGAGCATCTGCCCCTCTTACTTGTCCTAGTCTTCTCAGTACTCTCACCAGTTGCTTATCATTTGACCCTAGTTGTATCAGCCACTGTGGGCTCTCACAAAATAAATACACTCCAGCCAACGAGAGAGACAGCTTATTGCTTGGCTGCATAGACCTGTCTCTGAGCATGGCCTGGAATGGTCTATGAAATGCCTCGACCAACTACAGGAGAAAGAGCATGCCAGGCAAAGGAGGTCACAGGAGCAAGGTATAGTGGCAAACAGTAAGTCTGCATGGAACACAAACCAGAGTGGACATGTTAGACCTCCACAGCTTAGTGTGACAGCTGAGGTGGCAGCAGGTCTCAGGCAGAATGCCAAGGTAACAGAAGTTGGGTCAGTCTTATTGCAATAAATACCAGGAGAAAGATGGTAGGTGGGATGGAAGGTGGTGGCCGAATAGGAAGAGATGGGTACAGAGTCCCAGATGAGGGCACTCCAGTAGTGGGTTAATACATTCTTTAAGGCAAAAGCCCTTATTGTTGTGTCTGCCAATTTCCATGGTGTAGATTCTCCCACCATAGCTGCTTTCAAGCTATTGATGTGATGTCACTGAACTCAGAACTGAGAAGAGATGTGCAAAATCAGCTCTTACGAGCCAGTACAAGTTGACTCCACTGGTGTAGTCCTGAGAATGGACTTGCCAGGGAAAGTCACTGTGCCTACGGGTGGGAAGATGTCCTGCACGCTTCCGCGTCCTTCAACTCCAGGCAGGGTAGGTAGGCATGCCATACGCACCTCTGGGGCTTGTCCAATCCAAAAGGCCCACAAAAGGTTAGCACCCTTTGTCCCTTCCAGAAGGACCTACATTTGAGAACAGAGCAACACTCCCTGTGCTATCAGTAGACTGCTGAGGGCCATACTGGGACACAGCACATGGTCCCAATCTAGCTCGTGTTCCCGCTCATCAGTGTTCTGCCACCTGGCCTCATTACACTTTGGGGCCAGAGCAGAGGGCATGGCAGCCAGGCATGGAACCTAGGAAAGTGCTGAAGCTGTGGGCTCTAACTCCCCATGTAGCCCCAGGCAACTCACTTGCCCTCTTTGAGCCTCAACCCTCTCTCTATACATGGAGGGACCCTCAAAGAGTGATCTTGGAGACCTTTATCCATGCTGCTGCCTACCTTGGGGATCTAGACAGTGAAGCCAGTGAAGTCAGTCTGCCTCTTGGACAGCAGTGATCACAGGCCATGGATGACCTAGAAGAGGGTCCAGTGCTCACCCACAGACAAGTGATGGGACTGAACCAGGACGACTTCAGATCACTCTGTTCCTGCACCCATGTCCTCTTCTCTTCTCTCTGTCCTAATGCTCTCCAACCTCCATAACCCCCTGATGAGGGCTTTCTGGGAGGCCCTCTGGCCCCAGGAGGAGGATCCAAACAACAACCATTGCCTCCTGACAATGTGAAGGCACTCTGCCCTGTGTGGAGCATGGCTCTGGAGGAAGCACCTAACTTCCTGGGCCTGCACCTGCTCAGGCCTCCAACAAGCCTCAGGCCCCTCCCTGCCAGCTGTAGTTGCTGCACCCCCACAGCTCTGTTCTGCTCAAAGACGCCCCAGCCTGTCCATCGTGGCCACTTCTCAACTCCGGCAATCCCAAGCCAGCAGCCCAGCTGGGCTACAGCTGAACCTTCTGTCTCCTCCATCCATGACCATGGAAGGCCAGCTGCCAATGCTCCCTGGCATTCACCCCATCTGTTTCAGGGGTGAGAGACCAAAACAGACCACCTCTTGGTCTTGCTCACAAACGGGGCCTGCTGAGAGGCTCCTTCAAAGGAAATGAGGGGGTAGCCGCCTGATCTGACCCCAGGACACAGGGTGGGATGGAGAATCAAGTCTCTGAAGGGAGGGGAAGCAGGCCTCAGCCCTAGGAACATGCACATTTTCACGTGTTAAAAGCATCTTCGTGGGATATGTCGAGAAAGAAACGGCAAGAGAGAAAGACAGTTCCCTCAGCCACTGAGGCCAAACGAGTGGCCACGGCAGCACGAGCCCCGGCACGCAAAGGGTGAAGCTTTTAGGCGAACGGCGGCCGGTGATCTCAGCCTTCCCCAGTCCTAATGCTCCTGAAAGGCTCTCTCCCGCTCCCTGTAATTGGGCATCAGTAGTTAATGCAGTATTGACTGCATTACACGCTCCCGTGCCTCCCCTCACTAATGCCAATTGCATCACCTTGTACAGTCACCGGCTTGCTTAGGCCATAGCCCTTTAAAGCAATCCCAGCCGTTAAAAGCAATCCAAATCATGAATCATATGGGAAACTTTTAGCAAGACACCGCCATCCAAGGAGACAATTTACAGTTGAGTTAATCTGGGTACATTAGCGAGACATGGATTCTGGACGACAGACCAATTTATGTTGTTTCCCTGTCCTCCCTCAGTGCTCTGTATGGGCAAATGAATGGAAAAGCAGGGCACACAGAGAGGCACCTGCTTCTTTACCCAAGGCTCCGGAAGTGGAGGGGGAGACCCACCTTTACAGACGCCCTGCCTGGCTGAGCCTGGGCAGGAAGGAGAAGCGGCCGACTGTGCTGCTCACAGTCTCTCAGGCCTCATTCCCAGCTGTGTGAGGCGCTGCCACTGGGGCTGGCTCTGCTGGGTGCACACGGAGACACCCCCTTCTAGGCACTGAGCAAGCACCACATGTGGCCTCTACTCTGCTGACCTCACAAAGACCTGACTAGTGTCTGCTGGGCTGATGGGTAGGGGTCTCTAGCACGGAACAGCATCAGGGCCCACTTCCTGCCCACCTCCTTTCCTAGAAGAGTGCAGCCAGGATCTCCCAGCCCTGGAGATGGTCCGGGCCACACTCTTCCAGGAGAGGCCCCCAAGAACCTCTGTGGTCCAGCACATGATGGGACATCTCAGGAGGTCCTGCTGGTGGCTGAGCAAGGGCTGGTCAGTAGCCAACCATACCCAAGGGCCTGCCCTCCTGATCAACCGAGTCAGCTGTAGAGGCCACACTCCTCGCCGTCATTAACAATTCAAGACTCTGCTGTCTGGTCCTCCTCAGTCCAGCCCCACTCTCCAAGGCATTTTTACTTATTAAAAATACTCTAGGAATCATGTCTGGTGTTTAGTTCCACAATCTGCCTGCTGCTTCTTGTGGTCAGTTCAGCCTTCCTGCTGGGCCTTTGCAGACGCAATTGATACCCTGTCCTGTTCTTCTCCACCATGCACCTGGGAACACAGCAGCATCCCCCAGCTGGGTGACCTCAGCCCCTGCAGCCCAAGGCGCTCACTGTTCTTAGGTCTCTTGGGCTCTCTCCTGTCTGTCCCTACTCTAAGCCTTCTTCTCCAACAGCCTGAGGGCTAATTTGACTTGCAGGGTTCAGGGCAGTAGCTTCCTTTGCTCCTGTGGGACTTGAAGCTTCCCCAAAAAGCCTACAGCCTGGTGCCAGCCCAAGCCGCAGGTGCCAGGGGAAGACAGGCCATTTCTCCGGGAAAGTTGGAGCTCAGCTCCCTTTCGCTGACAGGCAGACCCGGCAGCATTTAGAAAGCCGGACCCTGAGTTCCAGTAAAGTGGAGATGGCCAGGCCAAAAGCAAGCGTCCAAATGAAAGCAATTAATCTTAAACCCCGAAGTTTAACCGTTTGCAAAACAGATCTTTCTGTCTCTGTGGTGACCCTTCGCTGCTCGACCTAATGGATTACTTTATTAATAATGCACTGTGCTTAAAAGCAAAAAAAAAAAAAAAAAAAAAAATTCCGACGATTCAATACTTCAGAAAGTCTCTTAAACCCGTTGCTACGGCAAAACGATTGATATTTTATTATCTTTCAGAAGTGCAACATGAAAGCCCCGCAGCCCAGCAGAGCGAGAGCTTTGGTCCTCGGCAGCTGGCAGACCCGACTTCAACCAGAGGAGCCCCAGCCTCTCCCGGCAAGATGCTGTCAGGTGGAGAAAAGGCGTGGGGGTGGTTAATAGGCGCCCCCGAGGCCCTGCTGCAGCCAGACAAAGGGTGTTGTGTGCAACCCTGAAGAACATGTCCCTTAGGGACCAGAGTTGGGGGCAGTGCTGACGCCCAGCTCAGACAGCCACCTGGTGGGAGGGCACACATGCTCAGGAAGAAGTTAGGTGGTAGGTTTAGAGGGGCAGGTGAGCAGCTCCAGAACCTTTCTCCCTCCCCCAGTGGAAGGCGCCACCTTCAAGGTCTCCTGGAACCAGGGGAGACCCAACTTTAATAGGGGGTGGGGCAAGGGCTTAAGAGCAGACAGGATGCTTTGGGAGGGCAGCGCCAGGCTGGGCAGGATGAGAATCAGTGCTGCTTAGGACCTCAGCCACCAGGCACTGCCACAGACCCCAGAGCCCAGCTGTGTCAAGGGTAGTGGCACCATATATTTTCAACTGGGCAGGGTGGTGTGGAGGGGCATCTCCAGGTCTCCTTGGCAGCTCTGGCAGAGACCAGGGGACACATATACCCAGGAGGGTCCAGGTGCACTGTAGGCTGGAGGCAGGAGGATGGCTACAATGGCCTCCAGAGATCTATTCCCACTCAGGGCACCTGAAACCGTTAGTATTATCACAAAGCCCAAGGCACTCTGGGTGCCTGGACAGGACCTAGCTTTGACACCCTGGGTGAAGGTGGGGGTGCCATCTTATTGGCACGAGACCAATCTCCTCAGCCCAAGGTCTCCCATGGATGGAGTCAAGGTCTTCTGGACTCCTGGTCTGGGCCTAGGGAGCCAAGCAGGCCAAACGACCTCTGCTAAAGATGTCCCCTGATCTCCACATGCTCCTTACAGTGAGACTATTCCCCAGAGACCAAGGAAGGCCCCTCTGCACCGGCTTCTCCAAGCCCTTCATTTTTACCAAGAGGAAAAGTGAAAGGCAGAGATGGGCAGGACTGGTCCGAGGCCACACAGGGATTCAAAGATGAAAGGAGGTAAATCGAGGCCTCCTCCCTCCCTATCTGGCCTGACCCCAGACTCTTTCCTTCTCCTTTTCATTCTATATAAAGGTACACGAGCCCATCCTGGAGTGGCTCCCAGGGGCCCCAGCAGAGGGGTCCAAGAATAGAGAACAACACGCTAAAGGCAGACATCACATTCTTGCTAGCCCAGAATTTAGCCCCACGTTTAGTCTCGCCTTGCCTCTCTTCCCACACAGGTGCCGAGAAATCACCTACATGGGCTTTCCAGCCCTACATGCCACCCTTAGGCCAGCACTTGATTTTTATTTTTCTTCTCTATTTATTTAGTTTAGGTTTTTGCCATAGGGCGTGTGTGCTCCGTAGAGAGACAGAGAAAGGGAAATTGAGAAATCACCCAGGGTGGTATGCCACGTCACAGTTCCTTCTCCTCCACTCTCCTCTTGGGACTCTGGTCATGCATGCACACATGCCCAGTGTGATTTTCAAGCCACCAGGTCCAGGACTCGAACTGCGCTGGCCATCCGGGAATCCAGCACCTCAGCCACCATGTCACCTGCTGCCCTAGGCATTTTAAATGTCCCCTCTCTGCTGGAGTTTCAAAGGTGGCAGGTAGGATGGGGGGAAATCGGCAGTGATAGCAACGAGGTGAAAATCCTGTGTGACCTTGAGCAAGTCACCTAACTTCAAATTTGTTTATTTTTAAATTTGTTAGAGGGTGTGTATGCTCCCCAGAGAGAGCAAGGGAGAAGGGAAGCAAAAAAGCATCCCTCATGGGGACTGGTCATCACGCAATCCCTTCTCCTCATCTTTCCCTTCTTTTGAGATTTTGGACACACATGTACCTGCCCTGTTTCTCAAGCCACAGGGTCTGGAACTCCAACCACAAGGTTGACTGGCCTGCCTTAACCACCAGGTCACTGGCTGGCCTAACTTCGAATTTTTACCACGTCTATTACACCATTGCCCTGGTGGTAGAGGGCACAGGCCCTGCAAAGATTCATGAGTAGGTCAGAGGATGGCCACATCCAGTCTCCAGGAGGATTACCACTGACTCACAGCAAGCCCCCTTCTTCCAGTTCCCACCATTGGCAGAAAGCAGGCAGCCATGTGGGTGCCAAAAATCACATGCAAGTCTTCCTACACCAACAAACCAAGTCTCATCTGCAGAGCAGGAGGGGCTCGGCAGCCAGGCAACAAGCCACCGTCATGACCCTGGCTGCTGATCTTAGGTCACAGGACACCTGCTTGGATTTACCCCCAAGGTCCCTGAGATCCCCAACCTTCTAGGGCATTACTGCAGGGGACTCCCAGCCAGGAAGGCTTTGGGGTCTATGGGTCCACCTGCTAGGGCTTGGGCCCCTGTGTTCTGACCTCTGGACCCTGCAGTCTTCCAGGATGCACGACCACGGAAGGTCCATGCCACTCTCGCAGGACGTTCCTGCAGGCATGCTAGTGACTGGTGGCGGGACACTTTCTTCCTCTGGGCCAAACTCCTACCTCCCTGCTCAGGGAGACAGGAATGGGGGGGGGGGCAGCACAGGAGGGGTTTCTCTTTCTCACCTCACCCACCCCTCCACACACACCTGCCTCCCCCTAGCCGGCGGGGCACCACCGCACGAGCGCTGTCCTCCCGCGCTCCTGCTCGCCTGGACCTGTGGCGTCTGATTCTCCTGAGCCGCTGATTTGCTCTCGGGTTACGCGGGCGGCGCGAGGGTGATGGCTGCGGTGAGAGGAGCAGCCGCAGAGACGAAATGGTCCACGCGAACCGCGGAGA